ATAATGATATTTACATATAACTAATGAAAAAATATATTTTATCAAAAATATATCAGCTATATCACCATCGCAGTGTTTATTTGATTATGTGAAAATACCTTAAGTTTTGGGAACAGATTTATGTGCGAAATAATTCATATAGAAATACCAGGAAAATTTAAATTACACCAAATGACATAAACGAATTATTCTTTTATGTATTATAATTCAGATTTCGATATAATTCTCATTAAAACACGAAGTATATTGGTTTTATATACAGTTTTTATTTATTTCAATCACATACTGCTATGTATACATTTTATTTTATTATTAGAATGTTTTGTAATTAAAGCAAGCTTGTACATCTCTTAGTTTTATAAATGTATATTAAATAATTTTAAATTTATCTATGTTACAGCTTGATTACTTATCTAAGTTACATCTATGAGAAGCTAAGACATTTTCTTTACTATGCAGACAGTTTTGATGCAATAAATAGGATAATTTTACATTAATAAAATGTACTTTTTATGCAGCATACGAAGATAGAAAATTGATAAATGCAGCATATATCACAAATACACTCCAGCCAATCATGAATCAGTTGTTTTAGATAATTAAAGAATATAAATAACAGTTCAAAATTTACAAATAAACTGCTTTTAATGCTTGTAATAGCAACTAACACCATAACAGAGCGTGTTGCATAAAATAACTAAAACATTAATCTTAATAATGTAAAAATTTTATAATTAATTTTTCATTAGAACTTGAAATAGTATTTAACCTCATATTTACTTTCATTGCTCCATATTTTAACCCTAATTTATTACAAATATATTTTCTCAAAATAGATCAAATTTAATATAAATTACTTATTATCTGAACAAAAGAAACTCATCGATTTCGATTTTTTAACTCTCCTCATATAATGATAGTTTATTATTGGAAACAAAATTTTAAAATCGTCATAAAATTAAAACGTATTGCGTGGTTTGAAGAAATTTTATGACATCACACACACATGATCTCAGTTTGTTTCTAAAGTAACAGAAGTTAACTTGTAAGGTCCCTCACTTGAAATTATAAGTTAATGTTGGAAGTGGGGAACCTAGGAAACTGATAAGCGAATAATCGCTAGAGTTCGAAGACAGGAAACAACAAAGAGAGAAGGGTAAATAACCCTTTATTATTTCTATAAGATTTAACAAAACTCCGCCTGGGAGTAAACAAATAAAGTCCGCACTTTGGACTTGAACTTTAAAAGACTAAGAATAAAAAACTAAAACTAAGATTAACTAACTAAGTAATAGCCAAAGCTATCAAGGTTCAATGAGAGTTGGCCCCTTAACTTACTTTACTACGAAGCTTAGCAAGGGTAAGAGTACGGCCGAGCGTAAAACAGCTTGAGAGGAGAGCGGCCAAAAAGGCAGACGCGCGTAGTTCAGAAAACTCAGTAAGTAACTTCGGGGTTTAAATACCGCTCCTTCTCATTAAATATTCAGCAAATTCCAAAACTACGTCTTGGCCGAAGTAAGTAGTAAGTTGAAGTTAAGAATTTGACAGAAGGAACTTTAACTTAAAATTTAACTGTTATAAAATTAACATAATCCTTACAAACTAATTCATTCCACTTAAAAACTGGATTCCATTTTTGAAGAAATTAATTTTACTTTTATTTATCAGTCAAAATTCAACTACTAAACAGTCAATCGTCGTTAAAAACATTCTGGAAAATATAGTCACACTCTATAAACTTTCTTTCTGAAATCTATAAGCATATATTAATTTAAATATGTTTACTTTCTCACTCAAAATTGAAGATTGTTATTTAATTAACTAAAAGTCTGCTCCAAATATAACGAACTTAGTTTCTCTACATATTGAGTAATTGCTGTATGCTGAGTGATAATGCAATATTCCTAACTATAATGACATTGTAGAATGCAAATGAAAGCTAAAATATCATATCATTCGCCATTGATGCACTACAAGGGACATTTATTTATTTTATATGATAATTCAAAAACATAGATCCCAGTTAAATGCTTTCCAAGTTACGATGTTCAGAAAGAAGTTTTCGTGTTTTAAATCAGACTATAAAGCACAAAATTTTAATTCTAATTAATAAAAATATTAACTATTCTTCATTAAAATATTTTAATGCTATCCAGTGATGTTATCCATTTTCACTAGTCTCAAAATCTTAGCCTAAACATTATGCTAATTTATTTAAATTTGACAACATGAATAATCTTTTCATCATTTTTTATAATCTTAACAGAAAGTTATGTGGAATACAGGGGGAGTAATATGTTATTGTGCACATCATGCATTGCATTATCGATATCTTTCTAATTGGAATTTCAAAAAGATGAACTCAAAAAAATATTGGCAACACATGTTTCCTTTTATAGCTATATTTAGCAAGATTAGTCTTGCAAGGCAGATTAATAGTAGAAATATTTAGAGCTGAACCTTTCATCCAAATATTTCTCAGACTACTTTTATATCGATGAGAGGTAGTGAAATCTATTGCATAATGGGGCAAACGCCGAACACTGAATAAAACTGAAGACTGTCACTAAGGGACCATAAAGGTTGTACAATAATCTATGGAAGTTCAGGATAATAAGACCCAGCATGTCAGTATGTGTCTGGAAGTGTATGGCAGCCATTTCAACATCTAGTGCAAATAAATAACTTTATTTGTGCAATTTTATCATTATGTGCACAATGATTTTATGATCACCCTGTATTATGTAAGTAAAAACTTTCTAGGAAATTCTCATAGCAGCACTCGTATTCATCCTCGTTGCCTAAATATCAGTTTTTGTTGAATGGGTTCTAGCCCAGATGAAGTCGTCCATTTAGATCGGCATCTTTACCAAGTGGCAAACTCAGAGTGAATTTCTGGAGGATGGCAGTAAAGTACAGAAATGTTTCCGCAGTTGCAAGATTCTTTCCTGGACAGGATTTGTTACCTGTGTAAAATAATAACTGATTATCTCTTTATTATTAGTAGTACTGATGTTAGTCACTAATTACAAACATTTACCTTTTGTTTTTCACAAGTATTAAAGTATATGACTTTAAGTACTTAAGTTGAATAAATTCAAATATGTAATCGGGATTTTTCTATCACATGAGGAATTCTATGACAATAATCAAAATTTATATATGTAATTGTAAATTTATACGTATGTCGAAGAAGAATAAAGAAATTATATACTAGAATATGGAAGCAGATGAGATCTTCTGCTAGCATGACCTGAGGCATCTTTTCAAAGGCAAGGCAAAAGCAGCCACACACCATTTGTCTTGAGACAGTTTCTCTTTAATAAAAAAAAATTTACGTACTCCTCCTTTTAAAGGGCAACTAGAGATTTAGAAACCAATGCGCAGAAGAGGGAGAAAATAACTTTATAAAGTAACATTGAAAAATGTAAAATATTACTTTATTAGTTAAAAATCTTTTCAGAGCATATTAGTAAACTGATATTAGTATCGAAGGTACGCCTACAAATTAGCCTGCAATTCATTAGAATGATAAGCTGCTCAATCCATTACTGGTACAAAGAGAAAAGGCCAAAGAAAGTAGAAATCGAAATTGTTAATTTTGAAGAATAAAAAAAAATTATTTAAAATTATTCCTAATTTTATAGCTGAGAATTTCTAAAAAATTTATTTTAAATTATTTCTAGTTTTCTAAATGAAAATTTCTAAGACATTTGAATTTATTAATCGTTTTTTTATTTTGAAATGTAAGAATTAAAAAAAATTGCTGAATGTTCATTTTAATAATTTTTTATATGTATTATTCAATTTCCCGATTAGCCGGATTTCAATCCTAAATTAATAATGCGATATTGATGTTATTTGGTTTTATTTAAAATTTGTGCTATTCATTTTAAAAATTCCCTTTCAAAAGTAATTTAAAAGCATAAAAATCCCCGATAATGATACTGTAAATTTCGTTTTAAGCCGTTAGAAAGGACTTTGCAGTTTAAAAGGTGAAGGCTATATTGGGTACTACTAAAAAATATTTGGCAAAAATGTAAAGACAGATAAAGGAGACCGAAACGATCAGATTTTGTAATGAAATATATGTGCTAAAATGGGGCGTTGAGGTGATACAAAGCGCTGTGGAGCAGAAGATAAAAGCGATCAGCTAGCGTAATTATCATTTTCAGAGCGAATTTCGAACAATCGTCGCACACATGCAAAACTCACTGACGTGTAGGCCTGCGGCTAAACGGAATAGTTAATGAAAAGAGGTACAAAGAAAGATTCCGATGTGCCTCCTTTGAGCATCTGCTCCATTTCCATCTGTACCCATGCAGATAAAATGTACATGTCGCAAGCTATGCTTTAAGGTAAAAAATGCATATCACTCGGAATTCGCGCGGGGAATGACAATCAATTCAAACCAGCAGAAAACACACACATGATCTCAGTTGTTGTTTCTAAGTAACAGAAGTTAACTTGTAAGGTCCCTCACTTGAAATTATAAGTTAATGTTGGAAGTGGGGAACCTAGGAACTGATAAGCGAATAATCGCTAGAGTTCGAAGACAGGAAACAACAAGAGAGAAGGGTAAATAACCCTTTATTATTTCTATAAGATTTAACAAAACTCCGCCTGGGAGTAAACAAATAAAGTCCGCACTTTGGACTTGAACTTAAAAGACTAAGAATTAAACTAAAACTAAGATTAACTAACTAAGTAATAGCCAAAGCTATCAAGGTTCAATGAGAGTTGGCCCCTTAACTTACTTTACTACGAAGCTTAGCAAGGGTAAGAGTACGGCCGAGCGTAAAACAGCTTTGAGAGAGAGAGCGGCCAAAAAGGCAGACGCGCGTAGTTCAGAAACTCTGTTTCTCTCTCTGTCTCAGTAAGTAACTTCGTGGTTTAAATACCGCTCCTTCTCATTAAATATTCAGCAAATTCCAAAACTACGTTCTGGCCGGAAGTAGAAGTAGTAAGTTGAAGTTAAGAATTGACAGGAAAGGAACTTTAACTTAAAATTTAACTGTTAATAAAATTAACATAATCCTTACAAACTAATTCATTCCACTTAAAAACTGGATTCCAGTTTTTGAAGAAATTAATTTTACTTTTAATTTATCAGTCAAATTCAACTACTAAACAGTCAATCGTCGTTAAAACATTCTGGAAAATATAGTCACTCTATAAACTTTTCTTTCTGAAATCTATAAGCATATATTAATTTAAATATGTTTACTTTCTCACTCAAAATTGAAGATTGTTATGTAATTAACTAAAAGTCTGCTCCAAATATAACGAACTTAGTTTCTCTACATATTGAGTAATTGCTGTATGCTGAGTGATAATGCAATATTCCTAACTATAATGACATTGTAGAATGCAAATGAAAAGCTAAAATATCATATCATTCGCCATTGATGCACTACAAGAGGACATTTATTTATTTTTATATGATAATTCAAAAACATAGATCCCAGTTAATATGCTTTCCAAGTTACGATGTTCAGAAAGTTTCGTGTTTTAAATCAGACTATAAAGCACAAAATTTTAATTCTAATTAATAAAAAATATTAACTATTCTTCATTAAAATATTTTAATGCTATCCAGTGATGTTATCCATTTTCACTAGTCTCAAAATCTTAGCCTAACATTATGCTAATTTAAATTTGACAACATGAATAATCTTTTCATCATTTTTATAATCTTAACAGAAAGTTATGTAGAATACAGGGTGAGTAATATGTTATTGTGCACATCATGCATTGCATTATCGATACTCTTTCTTAATTGGAATTTCAAAAAGAATGAACTCAAAAAAATATTGGCAACACATGTTTCCTTTTATAGCTATATTTAGCAAGATTAGTCTTGCAAGGCAAGATTAATAGTAGAAATATTTAGAGCTGAACCTTTCATCCAAATTATTTCTCAGACTACTTTTATATCGATGAGAGGTAGTGAAATCTATTGCATAATGGGGCAAACGCCGAACACTGAATAAACTGAAGACTGTCACTAAGGGACACATAAAGGTTTGTACAATAATCTATGGAAGTTCAGGAATAAGACCCAGCATGTCAGTATGTGTCTGGAAGTGTATGGCAGCCATTTCAACATCTAGTGCAAATAAATAACTTTATTTTGCAATTTTATCATTATGTGCACAATGATTTTATGATCACCCTGTATTATGTAAGTAAAACACTTTCTAGGAAATTCTCATAGCAGCACTCGTATTCATCCTCGTTGCCTAAATATCAGTTTTTGTTGAATGGGTTCTAAGCCCAGATGAAGTCGTCCATTTAGATCGGCATCTTTACCAAGTGGCAAACTCAGAGTGAATTTCTGGAGGATGGCAGTAAAGTACAGAAATGTTTCCGCAGTTGCAAGATTCTTTCCTGGACAGGATTTGTTACCTGTGTAAAATAATAACTGATTATCTCTTTATTATTAGTAGTACTGATGTTAGTCACTAATTACAAACATTTACCTTTTGTTTTTCACAAGTATTAAAGTATATGAACTTTAAAGTACTTAAGTTGATAAATTCAAATATGTAATCGGAATTTTTCTATCACATGAGGAATTCTATGACAAATAATCAAAATTTATATATGTAATTGTAAATTTATACGTATGTCGAAGAAAGAAATTATATACTAGAATATGGAAGCATGAGATCTTCTGCTAGCATGACCTGAGGCATCTTTCAAAGGCAAGGCAAAAAGCAGCCACACACCATTTGTCTTGAGACAGTTTCTCTTTAATAAAATTTTAACGTACTCCTCCTTTTAAAGGGCAACTAGAGATTTAGAAACCCAATGCGCAGAAGAGGGAGAAAATAACTTATAAAGTAACATTGAAATAACTGTAAAATATTACTTTATTAGTTAAAAATCTTTTCAGAGCATATTATGTAAACTGATATTAGTATCGAAGGTACGCCTACAATTAGCCTGCAATTCATTAGAATGATAAGCTGCTCAATCCATTACTGTACAAAGAGAAAAGGCCAAAGAAAGTAGAAATCGAAATTGTTAATTTTTGAAGAATAAAAAAATTATTTTAAAATTATTCCTAATTTTATAGCTGAGAATTTCTAAAAAATTTATTTTTAAATTATTTCTAGTTTTCTAAATGAAAATTTCTAAGACATTTGAATTTATTAATCGTTTTTTATTTATTGAAATGTAAGAATTAAAAAAAATTGCTGAAATCAGTTTTAATAATTTTTTATATGTATTATTCAATTTCCCGATTAGCCGGATTTCAATCCTAAATTAATATGCGATATTGATGTTATTTGGTTTTATTAAAATTTGTGCTATTCATTTTAAAATTCACTTCAAAAGTAATTTAAAAGCATAAAATCCCCGATAATGATACTGTAATTTTCGTTTTAAGCCGTTAGAAAGGACTTTGCAGTTTAAAAGGTGAAGGCTATATTGGGTACTAGAAAAATATTTGGCAAAAATGTAAAGACAGATAAAGGAGACCGAAACGATCAGATTTTGTAATGAAATATATGTGCTAAAATGGGGCGTTGAGGTGATACAAAGCGCTGTGGAGCAGAAGATAAAAGCGATCAGCTAGCGTAAATTATCATTTTCAGAGCGAATTTCGAACAATCGTCGCACACATGCAAAACTCACTGACGTGTAGGCCTGCGGCTAAACGGAATAGTTAATGAAAAGAGGTACAAAGAAAGATTCCGATGTGCCTCCTTTGAGCATCTGCTCCATTTCCATCTGTACCCATGCAGATAAAATGTACATGTCGCAAGCTATGCTTTAAGGTAAAAATGCATATCACTCGGAATTCGCGCGGGGAATGACAATTCAAACCAGCAGAAAGCAGAACGCTTTTATCTCCCACTGAATAGCATTATGTATCACATCAACGCACTACTTGAGCACATACATTCCATAACAAAAGCTGCTTAGGTCTCTTTTTTAGCTCCCTTTATATTTTTGCCAGATATTTTCCGATCACTGGATAACTTAAAGCAGACATGACTTTGGCAGATTAGCTACACGAGCACTGCCACACAGACGGTTCTCCACATTTAATATATTGTTACGACATGTACAGGCGCGGTGAGATAGCTTCACCGCAAAGCAGGTTTAGGGTTGCCAGAAAAATGCAAATGGAAAGAAGCAAAGGCAGGGTTGCCACATTTGGTGAGAAATTGCCCATTTGGCGACAAAATTTGCGATAGGCCATGGACGGATGGAGAACCTTCTGGAACGAATTCTTACCGGTTTAGCCCAGAATGTTCTTGAACACAAGACAAAAGCTATATAAACCCTGCTGGGTATGAGGAGAGTTAGTATGCCTCATCTAGTGAGCTGATAGTCAGTCACTGAGCGAGTGTCTCGAAGTCTAGCGCCGAGTTGGTAGTCGAGTGCATCGAGAGAGTCTTTTAGTGTATCGCGAGTTAGTGCATCGTCGAGTTTTATCTTAGAGTGGGCTGAGTCGAGAGCTGTACTCTTGTGCGTCGTCGAGTGCATCGCAAGTTGTAGTGTGGAGAGTCTCAAAAGTACATGGAGTTCCGAAAACGACCGAGCGGTGAGACAGCTTCCCCGTAAAGCGGGATTAGGGTTTCTAGAATGTCGCAAGGAAAGACAGGGTTGCCAGATTTGGCGCAAAATCGCCCATTTGGCGACGTCTGATATTCAGTGGAAAATCAAGCCATTTAAAAGGAATAAGTGCTGTTATTAAGAATATTTTTCTGCTTCTTAATCTGCTTGATTTAAATAAAAATACATTTAAATGAGATGTTAAATTAGAAATATCAAATATTTTTATGAAATGACACTAGTTCTAATCATTAAAATCAATATACACTTTTCTGTTTTATGAAAACTACTTTAGGCGCCAGGCTACTCATTCGGCTACTTTTACATATGTTCATAATTTTACAATTTTCTTTGATTTTTGCTTTTTGGCGAATAAATTATCAATTTTTACTTTTCAAAGAGCTTATGAATCAATCAACAGATGAAGTATTTCTTATTATTTAGCATGTATAAAAATGAAAGTTCGTATATTTTTATTTATACTGATCTAATTTTACATGAAACTCAGATATAAATTTCTTTGCCAAACAAACCTATTTGATACTGATGACTGACTAAAGATTATTACCTTTAATTAGCTGTTAAGCATAATTTGATAACATTAAAGAATGCTGACAATATTAAAGAATTCTACTCACCCATTGAAAATGGAATAAAATAGTCTTTCTTTAAAACGTATTTCCTGTCTTCCGTTAAAAATCGTTCAGGTCTAAAGACATCTGGATCTCCACTCCAATATTCATGGCTATGATGAACAGCCCACAAATTTAAAACCACCCAGGAATCCTTGGGTATAAAATAGCCATTTACTTCCAAGTCATCATGAATGCTGTAGAAAAAAAAATCATGCCAAAAAGAAATAATATTGTTATTGAGAAAAACTACTTGTTATTGAGATTTAAATGATTACGAACTTTCCTTTTTTTTTTTTTTTTTTTTTCGGAACTAGCATTCAAAATGTCAAATTTACAGCATGTAAAAATTTTTACAGAAATTAACATGATGAAATGAAACTCAGCTTTTGAAAATATAAGCATCTGGCAAATTTATAATTTTTTAGCGTAACAATACCAATTAATTGAAAGCTGGCAAGAGAGAGAATGCAATCCAAATTTTAATATTGGACAATAATTCATAAAAGCAAAAGGATTTCAATAATATAAACCACTAAGCAAAGGCAATAATAGTAAAATATAATTTTAAAAATGTTTTATACAATAAGCTTTTATTTAAAATGGATATGTGATTAATGCACTAAACACAAGCATTACGATAAATTATAGAAAATTAATTTACCGTATAACTTAATGGGAACAGTAGGTAAAATAATGCTATTTCCAGAGTTCGTCTACAATTTTAAGCTTGAAGCCCCTATGAAAAACCTAAAACGATAATGGATTATACATTTGATAATAATATAATGAAATTAATAGATTTCATCATTTATGTGGCCCATGTTTTTATTATTCCCGATATAAAAGTGTAAATGAATTCCGTAAATATAATTATTCATTATTCCCATTAAACTATATGATAAAATATTTTTGTCCTTTAATGTATTAATTATCATATAAATTTTAAATAAAAACTTATTGTATAAAAACCTTTTTTTTTCGTTTTTTTAGTCTCAGTTACACATTATCAATAATGATATTTTTAGTCATTATTAAAACACTATCAATTAATTATAAAAAAATTATGAAATGAAGAAAATAACCGAACCTCTTACACAAAATTGAAGAAATCGCTTTGAATATTCAGGTTCAGAAATTGGATGTAATAGCAGTGTTACTTAACAAGTATTTTACTTGAACTTTATATGGTATTTTCTCCTTGCCTATGGAAAAAAGCTTTCACAAATGTTTCCCTAAAAGAAGTTGGTTTCATCTGAAAAATCCAAAATGTTCAGTGCAGAAACAACCTTTGCATCTGGCGGATATATAATCCACAACTTGACAAAATTTCTTCTCAGTTTCCGATTTGAAGGAGGATTCGTTGTTAAATGCTGAACATCACACTGAAGAAAAGAGCGATTTTGATAACTTTCTATCTTAAAGTCTTGATGTTTGTGTTTACTCTCATAAATTCATGATAAAGCAGTCGCCAAATGAGAAACTCTAAGAAACATTAATAGATTGCCTCTGTTACTATTTCCATTGATGATTGAGCTGCATGAATACTTTCGCGCCCTTTTTTATGTGCACATTCCCTCAGAAACTTTTCACAAAGGCTCCCTCCCAAGAAACAGATCTTCTTTAAGAATTTTACGATGACTAAGCATAAAAGAATAACAAAAAAATTAAATGGATAAATTAAAAAATGGAATACGCTTATCTTTAGAAGCCAGATGAGAGTTGGGCATTTTTGGCTTAATTAATATAATACAATAGAACTGCGAAAAACGATTCAATTTTTAATGCTCGCAATTTGAAGAAAAATCAGTCCGGTTTTAATAACAATGAAGAAAATTCGAGGGAGAAAAACTGTCTTCGAGTGAAATATTAGAAAATTACAGTAAATATATTTAATGAAATGTTATAATATTAAGTTCGATTAGGTTATTTGAATATGGCAAAGCACACAGTGGCTATCTGTCTAAGGGGAAAGATGCTTTCGTGGAGGATTTTCTAAGGGAAACTAGGTCGTATATATGTTACAAACGCGGAAAACCAATCATGCAGTTAGCCCATTCACCAGAGATCGAAGCCAGGTCACACTCAATATCCAGCGTCTTTTAGCCAAAATGCATGAAATGAAAAACAAGACCAGACATAGTAATAAGATTATAACAATCTATCAATTATAATAAATATCATATCTCATTTAACGATCTATAATGCCTCGTCTAACACACAAAGTATTTTCTTTTTCAGTACAATCCTAAATAATATAAGATTCGGAATTCGAAAATGTAGTAAACTACATAAAGCAAAGCAAATATGCAATAATAAAAAAATACTCAACAATCCATTTTGGCACATTCAAAATTCGAAACAAAATGCAGGGTGGTTCATAAAGAAGTAATAGAATAGAAGAATCATAAAGAAGTTTCAATAGACTATAAATCAAGAACAATGTAAGATATTATATGTTACCTGTAACAGAACTGTAATGGATTATTTTTTATTAGAGACAGTCATAGATGTTCTATGCGTGAACCCTTAGTCACACGACAGACATCGAATCGATAATCCATTTCTGCCCACACACGTGTTAAGGTACCTGAATAAAGTTCGTCAATAGTGGCTGTGATATGCTGTTTCAGCACCGCTAGATCAACGGGAAGGGGAGGGAGGAATACCTTGTCCTTTAGGTACACCCACAGGAAGAAATCAAAGGTATTAAGTCAGGTCTTCTGGGTGGCCATTGGGTATGGGACATGATGTAGTCTGTGGCTCGACCAATACATCAGTGAGTACAATGTTCATCGAAGTAATCTTGCACCTAGCTTGCATCGAAGTAATCTTGCACCACTCAGTTGGAGAAAGAAGTTGTCAACGTCGTCCTGCAACTGTAGCATCAACTAAAGAGTTAAAACATCCAAGAAAGTGGCTCCCGTGACAGTTTGCTCGTGAAAAAAGAAAGGGTTGAGCACTTTCTTTCTGGACACTGCACAGAACATATTTACTTTACGGGAATCTCGCACGTGTTGCACTGTGAATTCGGTAGTCTCTGTTCTCCAAAAGTGAACATTATGCATGTTTACCTTCCTACTGATGTGAAATGTTGCTTCATTAGTAAAAATTAAAGGATCGGCAAAATCGTCATTTTCAAAATGAAGCTGCGTATTGGCACAAAATTCAAAGCGCTTTTGTTTGTCAAAATCACTCAGATTTCGCAAAACCTTCACTTTGTATAGAATGCCTCTTTCTTAAAATTGCCCAGACCAGAAGGCTGAGAAATCTTCACTTCACGACTCACCCTCCGCTTTGATTTTCCCGAGGTTTATTGAATGGCGGTGCAAACTCTATCGGCGACTTCTTGGGATACAGTCTTTTATTTTTTTATTAACTTTTATACAGGACTTTTATTTTTGCACAAACATCCCGTAGTTTTAAAATTTTCATGCCATTGATAAATAGATTTTTCTAGTTGAAGGTTCTTTTCCGAATTGTGATCGAAAATGCAGTTGTAAAGCAGTTGCGGATTCCGTTTTGTTAAATTCAAGAACACAAAACGTCTCCTCCACTGCAGATGTCGGCATTTCGACTGAGTAGTCACGTAACATGCACATTATTGCTTATGACAATTCCATCAGGGGCTATACCAGAGCCGTATTTAGAACTTGATAAGGCCCTAAGCTATTTGAGATATGAGGCCCCTTATAATTCTGTTATACTATATTTCAATACCATATTTATACAATATTTTAATTTTTTTGGAGACCCTAAGCTGTAGCTTGTGTAGCTTATACGTAAATCTTGCACTGGACTAGACACAAACTTTAATGGTATGTCTACTTCGTGGTTCGCTGAGGCGGTGCGTGTCTTTGACTGTCACTGTTTCACACCATCTGGAATGTGTATACTTCTTTATGAATCACCCTCGATATATCATTACATAGTTTACTAAATACGTTTTCAAAAACAAATCATATATGTTTGTAATCAGTTCACAGAGAAGTGCAACAATATGGGTATAGGTATTTATAAGCGAATAATTCTAACCCTGGGATGATTCCTAAGGGTGAAATTGTTCTCCATCTCATGACTTCCATGATAACGGCATTCGTGAAAGGCATCCTGCTGTAATCAAATATCCGTGGAAAATGACTTCTGCCAATTATTTCATCGATTTCCAAGTGGATTTTCCTTTGCATTTCAGGATAAGCAGCCATAATCAGCAGTAACCAATCCACCGTAATTCGCACAAATTCATTTCCTGCACTGAAAATTGACTTCATGACATCCTGTAGAAATTTTTCTAGAAAAAGATCAAATTTAAATTAAAAGTCGTTAATGATGGCAAGGCGAAAAACATTGTACGTAATTGGCAGTTATAACAAAATAAATTTGCCACTTGTTGAATTAGCATATTTTTGACACAATTCTGCTGAAACTTTACAAAGGAAAATATTTCTCAAAATAGATTTACTTCAATAATAGATTTTGAACATAAATTCCAAGATAATATTACAGAATCTAAGAAAATCGTCATTTAAATTTCTTCCTTTTGCGACAATTTGTTCAAAGAATTAAAAGATTATTGATGCTAATAAAAAGAAGAGGAAACTAAAATGGCCCCAACATGCACCAAATCTGAAGGAAAAGTATTATTAGATATTAAATAATTAAGTAAAATTACATATAAAAACGGATTAAAACTTTTCCAAATTAATAGCATATGGCCTTATTAAAAAATCTAAGTAAAGATTAAACTTTAATAATTTGAGACATTTTATTTATGTCTTACTAAAAGTTAACTTCATGTTGATTCTTCCCTTTGTGTCTTGTTTCGTCACGTACCTGCTCAGCCCAGAGGTTTGTGGCAAGCGCTTATAAAAAGGAAATCGTCTCTGGTTAAATTCACAGTATTTGTTTGATTGCTGCTTGCCTAAAGAGCCGCTGAACTGAGTAGACAGCAAGGCCTATCATTGCGAAAGTTGGTAAGCGCCGAAATTTAATTCCGCTCCTCTCTCTGACTCAATTACAGTTGTAACTTCGTGTAGAGTAACTGGAACTGTAACCATATGCTGTAGATTTCCAGAAAGCCGTTATTTACAAGAAACGATTAAACTGTTTTGTAGTATTTCAAGTCTCTTTAAGTTGTGGGGAAAGCAGTTTTATGTTGACTTTTACCTTTTTATTTGTTCTTGTGTCCACAGTAAGCATTAAAAAGAGTCGATAACACGTAGAAGTTACTTTTAAAGGTGAGTAGAAATAGTTAACTAAGCAGTTAAACACCTTGTAAGCCATTTATGTTAATTAGCCAGTTATAATGATTTAAGCATTTACTATAACTTCTCTTTTCCGTGTTCCTCACCAGAATGCAAATTAACTGTTTCGTGCGTTTAAGATAAGGGATTTGAATGTTTAGATTAGAGATTCTGGGAACGCGTCTTGCTGTTACTCTCGTCAGTTCTTCTTATGTTGTATTCTGGCTTTAGCATCTTGATAATCGACCTTTTAAAATACGTACCGGTGAATAGCTGAGCCAGCTTAATAGTTTTATTTTACGTGCAGTCTGACGCTGCGTTACCTACACTGAAATTTAACGTTCTGTTATATTAGCCTAAATTCCTACAAATAGCGGAAGTTTCATCTGCACCACAAGCTGTGCCTTTATGTTCAATTCAGACTTCAATAAAAAGGTGATTTTAACCTTTCTTTGACTTCATGTTTGTTTCCGATAAAGCGATAACTCGCTTCGAGCCTGTAAAACATCGACACAAACTTCTAGATACAACAAAACCCTATAACCTTCATTCATTATAAATTAAATACTGGAATAAAAATATAAAAATAAGAAAAACCAAATGAAAATTTTATAGTTAGTTTTTGTAAAAGGAATTCAGAAATAAAAGTATCAAGGAGAATCATCTTAGAAAATTAATTAACATTTAAGGAAAAGTCGATGAATAAAAGTATCAAAAGTCAAATAAAGTAGTTTTATTTTTACTATATATCGCTAGACAGGAGTGACGTTTAGCTTGCTTTAAAATTTAATCTTTGATATAACATACGAGGCGCCATAACGCGATTTATTAATGACAAAAGTGACATCAGAAGGCGAGATCAATCTAAAGTTCATGCTAAATTATTTATTAAGTTCATACAAAGCTTTGATTCTCATGTTCAATGCTTATGCTGCATATTACTACAATCTGTCAATTGTAGTTGAAAACATTTCTGCTGTATTTTGACAAAAATAAGTGAAATTAATAAAGACCCTTGTTTTTAAAGTAATGAAATAAATATTATATAAGTTCTTGTAAATTTGAAATGAAGAATAAATGCAATTTTAAAGATATAATTGGCTGTTGCTACCAATCTGAACAACGAAAAATAGCACGAAGAAGTTTGTATGATTAATCCATAGAAGAGTTGTAATTTGTAAATTTCTTTACTTCTTCCTAGCTATAATTATCAATAAAAAGGAGAAGTGAATTGGTCGTATTAAAAAAAATCGATTAGTGATGGCAGTAATGCAAACTTTTAAGTGAAAAACACTCCCAAAAGGCGAGAATCTAAACTCCTTTCCGATAAGAAGTTAAATGTTAGATTACTTAATAATGGCAAAGCACTCGAGGCTTCTCTACCTATGTAGAAGGATGCCTTCGTGGAAGTGTTTCTAAGGGTAACTGGCTCGTATACTCATTACACATGGGAAAACCCACGAAAATACCCAAGCAGGTAGTCCGTTCGCCGAGATTCAAAAGCCATGCAACCAGCCCTTTTGACTGAGTTTGAACCCAAGCTAGATCAAACTACCAGTATTGAGCGGTCTTAACCACCCAATTGGTGGTGGGCCTGAGAAATTAAATGTTGTATATTATTATTAAATGTTGTATATTATTATCTATTGGGTTAAATTTCAATGCTTATGATGTCCTCTTTTAACAGATTCTGATAATATTCCTTGAAATTAAAAAATCAAAGTTTATTAATTAACATCGAGGAAAAGATGATTTCAGTTCTTTATAGTTGCAATTCATTCTCTGATCATAGTTTACTAAGGAGCTAATTTCTTGATATGAAGAAGTAGATAGTCTTTTAAAAGAGTTATGAGAATTTGTAATTAATTTAGAGTTAATAAAATCATTTTTTAAAACATGACGGATTTATGCACTACCCACTTACCATGGAGCATTAAAGATAAATCTAAGAATCTTGTTCCAGACAACTTAATTTTCCTTCTGTGCTTAGCAGCTGCAATAACTCATACCAGATAAGCAGTAAAAGAATGGGAAAAATTATTGTTTGATAAATTTTTCTTTTCAATTGACAGTAAATAATTACTTCCAAGTAAAGCACAAATATTCATAAATGTACGAATTACTTTACAAGTGACGTATTCAATGCGAGTTCTAAAATTTACTTTGCTGTCAAGTAGTACTCCTAGATTACTCAAATTAAAGCCACAAATAGTCATTCAGAATAGTATAGTCAATAAAAAGACAAAAAAATTGTTCTTAGAAAGTTTTTTTTAATTATTAATTGTGCGGCTAAAAGTATAAAAACAGAACAAATCACTTTAGCAAGCTAATTTTTGTAAAGAAAATCGGCAAATAAAAACATCGAAGCATAAACTATTGTTATTAGTAAGCTAAAAAGAAACTTTTGAAAAAGATCTGTAAGGAATTTTCCTCTTTTTTCTGCAGGACTTCGTAGTTAGATAGTTAGATCTGTGGTGTAGGTAGCGGCACGTTCAGCTAGCAAAGGAAAGTCCAGAATTAGATTCTCGCGGATGACATAACTGGTGTTTCACGATCCTCGCTCAAAAAAAAAAAAAAAAAAAAAAAAAAAATCTGGACATTACAAATGCGGCGACACTAAATTACGTAGTAGGTAACATTTCATCACCATTGGGATTTGGTTAGTGGGTCTCCTGACTTCCCAATCACTCTTCAAGTGAAGAGGAATGTAAATAATTTTAGCCTTCCGTATTTTCTAAGTCATAGCATCTTCGGCTAGCAATCGGAATTTTCGGAATTTGAATCCAGGCGAAAGCACCTCAGATTTTCTATGTTTCCTGCTTTGAAAAGCCTAATAGACTCAGCCCTATGCTAAAGAAACAATAAAGAAGAGAAATAACATTAGCTTAAAAGCTAATGTAGCTAGGAAAGCAAACTGTAGATATGTTTAATTTGTATAACCTTCTGGATATGAGCAAAAATATCTCATATGAATCAAAAAGAAGACAAGGCAGTGTTTGAATTAAGCTTAACATTTCGTAAAGCTTAAAACAGTATTCGGTGTATTATAAATGTTTAAGAATTTTTTTATAGAGTAAAGGTAGATAATTATCTTCTAGGGATGATCTAGGGTATTCTAAAGTTAGTTACTTTCTTTTGTTATATCATTAGGCAAATCTATTGCTTTTAAGCACTGGTTATTGGTGCATTTTAAATGGAAGAAAAGCAAGTCACTCATTTTTACTAATGAATATTAAAAAAAAAGGTGAACTGCAAAAAACTGCACTTAATTATTCTTTTAGTAGGCTTTCTTTTTGTATCATTTCCAAATCAACCATTCTAATAATACGAAAATTTATTTAATACTTAAAAAGTGTACAAAGTTTTTAGAAATTCCACTAACAATTCTGAGACATTCGTTTCCCCTAAAAGCGGGCCCAAACCGTCCAGACATTGACCAGTTCTAAGAGCAGTAGCGGTGGTCACTTTACTATGGAGTACCTTATAGGTGGACCACCTTTGCCTCTTATGAGGGGATGAACAAATACAACCATGCGTTTTCTGGCTTTTCAACCCGGGCCCTTTTGTATCGCAACTAATCACTCTAACCACTATACCGTCTGGGCGGTGGCATTCCAATATCTGCCATAGAGTTCCTCCACTGCTTGGAGACACAGAAAAGTACCTAATTTGAATAACTGAGAGATAGTCAGAATCTGAAGCAAATGAATAATTTTTATATTAATTGTACCCAAAATGTCAATAACTTAAAATCCCTTTGGTGAAGAGTATGAATGCTGTGCAGCATCTTAAGTTATCTTATTTCATACATAGTCCAATAAAAATGTCAGTTGTAAGTTACATCTGAGCTTATTTTAAACATCTTTGAGATTCTGAGATTTGTTTCAGAGAAAGGTCGCCTGCGGGGTATATACTAATCTAGCTAACTAGCAAACAAAAAGAGAAAAAAGGGCTAGACTTTATACGTAATAAATATATGAACAAAACTAAATACGGCTGCAGTAAATAGGCTAACGGAAATTATCATTGGAATTATCAATAATTCTTATCATCAAGATGCATTTTTAGCCAATGAACTCATTTTTTCTACCTTCTAATAGATTGTGACAAATTATATTTGTTTGTACATTTTAAAAAAGATTCTAAGTTCCGTGAAATGAAACCTATGCAGGTAAATTCCTTCCTGTTCCAAAGGAACAGGGAAAATTGAAAATACTTAAAATATACGCTTCCAGAGACGAATATACAAACACTTCATTCATTTGCTCAGTTTTGAATAAGCTGATTTTCATGTCTTTAAACTGATTCTCTTATATTGCTATAGCATTTAAAATTATGATGCAGTTTTTATGGTATCCTCTGTTTCAGTGAAAATGTGATAAATTGACATGAAAAAATAAATAGCATATTGAAATCGAAATTAAATTCGCACAATTTTAAGGAAATTTTCATAGTAACTTATCACCAGATATAGCACTGTATATTCCAAGTAATTAAAAATCAGCATTTTAATACACTTCCATTTTTTCTCTAATATTACTCTTCTTACATTCTTCCCCACTTTTATTCTTTCCTAGGCATTCCATGGACACTGCAATGACGTTGCACCAGAAATATTGATGTGGACTTACTGCTACATGATGAATGATTTACACTTTTCTGAATTTCCAATAAATAAAAGTCGATGAAACCATGAATACTATTAGCATCCGAATTCTTCTCATTTTTCTCGATTTCTTGACTAAAAAAAAGAAATTTAATTATCATTTAGATGAACAGAAAGATAATAATCTAAGAGCAGAAATTCAGGAATTTATTTTCAAATAAATCAATAAATAAACAATAACGAAACTAGAGATTACGAAACTGGCATATAATGCGACCAATAACGAGTTCAAAATTTCATATATGGTAATAATTTGCAATAATTAATAAAATTTGAGATGAAGCTTTGGTGAACTGTATTTACTTAGTATTGTAGTTACAGACGAACTACATTTTTGGTCTTCTTGTTAATATAAATACATGATCATTTAATTAAAGTTTGACGTAAGCAGAAGCGACCTGTATCCTAATTACACGCACAAGTTAAAAATAATCATACACATAAATCCATTACTTAGCTTTAACCAGGTATAGATATTTAAGTATTTACAAAAACAGGTAAACGATTTTAAGATAAAAATATGTGGTTAGTATTAACATAGTGGCTAGTATTAACATAGAAAAAAACGCGAAGCGCCTACTCAGCCACCCATTCAGTCAACGGGAATGAAACTCCATATAAATTTGTGTAGTCAGAAAACTAAGTAAATGGACTGAGATTCCAGAAAATGCAAACGTTTCGAAACGCACAGCATTAAACCATACTTTTACACATTTGAATAGGTAAAAGATTTTATTCGGTTCTTCTAAACATTCCCACAAAGCTTCTTCAGTTGATCAATTAGATTTCGTTAAAACCTTTCACATTCCAAAAGTGATTAATTCTCAAGTAATTAATAACATTAGTTCCAATTCGGATTTTTCTTAACACTTTCGAAATTCTAATAACTTCGGCTTTTCACTTTACGTTTAATTACTTTTCTTCTTCAAAAGATAGTGCGTTGTTTATTTCTCTTTTCTCCGCCATTTTTTTCATTACATATTTGACGTTTTGCTCCACTCACTGCTGAAAACATATTTTGCTCCTGAAAAATAAGATCTGCGTCAGATCATTCTCGAAACGATAAAGTCTCATTTAGAATAAAATCTACACTAATTCAGGCTTTTTTTTCCGGAGGGTCTGGGTGGGGGGAGAGATGAGTTTTACATGAAACTCCCATACGTTGCTGTTAGGACTGAAATTTTGCGCCTAAATGACTGAAAAGGAACGTGCCAGTAAATTAAAAATATTAATGTATATTAAATAAATATTTAAGTTGAATTTTATGGTGTTGATTTCAGTCTCAAAATCTTCAAAATCCTGTCCTAAATATCTAATATAGCAGTGTAATTCCACACTGAATTTATTTTCAAATAAATCAATAAATAAGCAATAACGAAACTAGAAATTATGAAACTGGTATATAATCTGGCAAATAACGAGTTCAAAATTATAAGCAGTATATTCTAGAAAAGAGTATTATCAAACTCGGAGCATATGCGTTCGCAGTTACTCATATTAACCACAGATTGAAAACGAGAGAGATTTTTTCCAATAATTCAATGCGTTATCATTCTGCTGTTATTTATCAAACAAGGAATAAATAGTATCTCTTCTTTCCACTCCCATTATCAAGCTTACATGCGTTTGCAGTGTTATCATGAAGCCACAAATGTTTTATGATAACAGCAAAAATTGTTTGTTGATCTTGCTTACTCATGATTATAAGACCAAAATGATATCATTAACATGGCGTTTTTAGTTTTAGTTTGTTTTTTTACTTCTTTGTATTAAGCAAAGGACGTATTTTAATCGCGAAAAATTTCGGGTGTCATATTTCGAGGAAAATATGCATTTTGACCGCTCTCGTATCCATCTGAAGGATGTTTTTATGTGACATCTGTACGTACGGACAAAATAAAGCTTTCTTTTTCCCAAAACGGATTGAAAAGTGGATTTAAAATTGAATCAGAAGAGATTTTTTCGTGACGTCTGTACGTACGTATGCATATATCTGGTATAACTCAAAAATGAGTAGCCTCAGAACTTTGAAATTTTCTGTATGGGACTAATGTAACAGGTAGTTGTGCACCTCCCTTTTTGGTTGAAATCGGACACACCAAACGTATACTTATTCCCACTCTGTTACCCGGCTCGGTGAGCTCATGAATTTATTCTTATATATTGGTAAATTGTACATTTTTTGCTTTAAAAGTGGTTGAATTATGTTGTTGTGGTGCGATGTTTATTTCTCTTTTCTCCGCCTTTTGTTTCATTACATATTTGACGTTTTGCTCCACTCACTGCTGAAAACATATTTTGCTCCTGAAAAGGTTAAGCTGCACCGGTTAAGGTTTTTATGCGTTTAGTTAAGCTGCATTCAATAGTTGTAAAATTATCTACAATTTAAAAGTTATTTACGTCTCGCTAAGCCTAACAATGCCGCCATTTGTTTATTTGTTGGTATTTCATGTTAGTAGAATAGTACATATATTTTTACATGTTAGTGGAATAAGTCAGTTCATATTCAAGTTTATAAAGTCAGTTCTTGCACCAACTTCAGTGTCTTTTGGTCGAGTGGGACCAAAAACAAACTTTCAGGTTTGTTTGTTCTTCCCCGTTGGCCGAATTGCTTGTTTTTGCGTAGAAACCAATTTTAATTGAGAAAATTATTTTTAACTGTATTTGGTGTTTTATATTTTTCTGGTTGTACAAGTTTTGATTACGATTGAGTTTTTTATGTATTTTTGCCTTGCCGCGAAGTGAAAACTGAATTAATTGAATGAGAAATATATCTCTGATGAAATTTGTGAAAATAAGTTCAAATGAAATGCAGCAAAAATTGGGCATAATTTAATAGGCCGGACAAGGAAGACATGTGATGTCCTCAACAGTTTTTTAATTTTTTATGAAACAACAGTAATATGAGATTTATTTAACATGAGTAAAGAAATCTGGAATATGAGCGATTTTGATCAGCATATGAGTTTCTGAATCACCATATAGTGTATATGTGAACGAATAATAATAAAATTAAAGTTTTTTTCATACAGCTTATTCATCGTAGAACTGAGGTGACGACGTTTTCGGATAGCCCATAATCAGAATGTTCCATAAAAAAAATAAAATTGATTCATTTTTTGCCTTTTTAAAATTAATATTGTTTTAAACGCCTTTCCTCAAATTTAAAAAATTTTATTTCAGACTTTTTTGTTTTCATTTAAATTATTAAAAAAAATTACCAGACATCTGTAATTAATTTTTGTTTTCATCAGAGTTATCATTTTTTATGATACTATTCAACGATTATTGAACTAGTAATCGCCCACAGATGAAGTTGGAAAAAATACGAAGAAAATTAACAGTACTGTTGCATAAAACCGTGAGCACTTACAAAAAAATACTGGTTATAAAAGAGTAAATAAAAATCTCGTAACGAATCATAAATAATTAGCAACTTTTTAGTAATTTTCTTCTGCAATAGCGTCAAAAATAAATGAGATGAACTGAATAAGTTTCTTCTGGAATGATAAAATTCACTTATATGCAGCAAAATGTTTTGTAATTTATCGTAATCTTTTGTTCATCCGAATAATTTTTTCACTTTTTACGAAATCTTTATGCATCACGCAAATTTCAATAGACATAATTTACAATATGAAAATTATCACTTGAACAGAGGTTCATTCAGTATACAATATAATATAGCCACTGATTTCTTTCATAAACTGTGCATTCATCTGTAAAAAATGTTGCAATAATGCAACTGATCAGTGGCCAGTTTGGGAATTCACTGGTTCAGTGACTTTTTTCTCTCCCTTCTGTTGATTTAGTGGGATTTCACTTTAGGCTTAATGTTTATTGATTCCTGAATATGTTTTGTGTAAATGAATATTTACGTTTGTGAAGTAAAGCTTAGCATCATAAAATGCATAAAAAAATTGCCTAATAAGAGCCTAAGTGTAATTTACAGCATTATTTTGCGGATTCTCTCTCTGTCTAATGGCAGTGTTATTAGCAAATTATTTTTATTATTTTCCCTAGATTTATGTTTCGTTATGGAATGTTCGTTTATAGAAAAATAACTGAGACTTCTAGTTTCAATGTGATTATAGTTTTTTGTTTGTTTATTAATTTTATTTATAGTTATAAGCGAAAATGTGTGCGTTACTTTAATCCGCAAAAGTTGGCTACCATCGAAACATGAAAGTTGGTGGAAATCCTAGCATAAAACTTTATTCTAGAATTCTGAAGAAACCAACACTTCTTTGTTTAATAAACAATCACTATTTGAGCCATTTCATTTTTATGTGTCATAAAAAAGTTTTAGTTGATTTCTACTATGTTAGGCCCTCCGATCTTACAGGAAGGCAATAAAACTTGATAGACAAACTTTCCGCCAGTAATTCTTCCTATCTATTATTGTTTTGCCGGCATATTTAGCTGACCGCATCGTGTTTGTTAATACACACTTTTTTAATAGTAGGATTCCATGATTTTGAAATAATCTACTGCTTTCTGTCCTGTGAAAGGCAAGCCCCAAATTTTAATCATTTTTCAAAATGTAAGAAAATTTATGACAATAACATATATATACATAGAAGATAGCAATTTATACCCTTGGTCAGAAAAACAAAACGTGGCTTACCGAAAATCAATCGGGTTTTACATAAAACGAAAGAGCAGATGAAACATGAGCAGATATCATGAAAAGAAAGTGTTGTTACATGACATTTAATCTATAATCTGCGCTAAATCGAGCTGCTTGACGACAGTTTAACGGCCAGTAAGACAAAACATAAATATCTTATTCCTCTTTAAAATAAATTCCAACCTGTCAGCTTCTTTCTGATAATTTCCAAAATTTCTTTTTATTTAATTGAATACAGCAAAAGCAAAGGGAAGAAATACTTTCGTAGAGAACTTTTCCAGGAAAACCGGCTCGTATTCATTTTACACAATGGAAAAAACTACTCATTCAGCCTGCGTGTTCGCAGGGATTCGAACTCGGGCATTAACACATGCCAAACTACCAATGATCAGCGGCCTTAACTATTCAGCCCTCAGTTTAGCGGTGCAAGAGGCCATTAATTTTTCGCGTTCCTAGCTATTTAACCACCACAGGACTAAAAATTATTGAAGCCAAAAACTTCAAACTATTCCCCCCCCCCAAAAAAAAATATGACTAGCGCCAATTTTTTTTAAACAAAAACTTTTTAAGATGTTTCATGGGAACATTAATAGTAAACAATTGATTATTTATCTGATTACACATTCCAGCAGTCAATTGTTTTATTCTTAACAAATCTTCTGTACTTTTCCAAATTATGAAAGAATTCCTCCCGCATTATGTTAAATTTATTGCCTAGCTTATGTGCTAATTTTCATCTTTTTATGGCCATATATTTTCATTAAGAACAGAAGCTCGTTAAGTTCAAATGTCTGAAGTCTTTCCGCTCTTCGACCCAAAAAATTTCTGCATTTCACATTTTTTTTCCTACATACCAACAGAACACAGAAAAGAGTATTACTAAGACTACATAAACACAAAAGTTTACTTTTCCCAAAAGTTACCCAAAATTTTACATAAAACCCAAAATTCAGATTTTTGCATCTTTCGCTATTTGATGGTATTAAAAAACCACAAGACCTTGAAGCTGTAATATGTTTACGTTTATCATTTAAGTTTGCGTACATCATAATTTTTTTAAACAGCTTCTAATTGGGAAAATTGAAAAACGTGTTATATTTTGCAATTTTTCTATCAAGGTTTCTGTGTTTCATCAAGGACAAATTCTTATGGATCTATTCTTATTAAGGTTCTTTGCATTTATTTAGTAATGTTGTATTGAGTAATGTTGTATGAGCTTTATTCAATTAGCAACGTGGTTTGTACATGTACTGTATTCTATAATGGTTATGAACTTTTAATTCTTTTAAACGTTCGAAACTTGGACTTTTCGAGCAGCTCTATTGTACATACTTTCATTTCGCATATGCAGGATGTCTCTTCTTCTTTTACCAGCTATCAGTTCCTATGATTTTTTGGGACCTACACCTCAGGATTTTACAAAGTTAGGTTAACCCACAAGTCGTCTACTTAGTTGCGGTAGAAAATGCCAAGAAAGGCAATCAGCTTAACGAATAAACTTTAGAATCCAAGTACACAGCTACTGCTTAACAGTCACTTTATCTTCCCTCTCAACCTCCAAGTAGAATGCGCTTTGTTTGCATTTGAATGGTTTGTTCTAAAGTACTGGTATTTCTAAAGTATGCCTGGCTATACATAATATTCACCTCTTTAAATTTGGCACTTTTATTGTTATATCTTTATACACCCACTTTTTGTGTGTTTCATATCACATTTTATTAAGTGTTATTATCATCATAAATAAATTATGCAATCAAGACCAAGTGACTATATTTTGTAAGATCAAGTTATTATGTTCGTAAAATAAAAATTGGAAAAAAATTATGATTAGTTAGCGACAAGTATTAATCCAAAAGAAACAAAAGGTACTATTTTTCAAAGTGTTTTTAAATTGGATATACGGATATTGTAGGAATACGACAGCATAAATATTCAGATTGTCATAAAAATAAGAGCAGGGCGTTATCATCCAGTTCTTTAATAAATTGATAGTAAAAGCAAATTCTAAAGAAGAAAATATCATAAATGCTTTGAAAATAGCTCAAATATAGCATACAATCATTAAGTCACTTGACTGCAGTTAGAAATTAAATTAAGAAATTTACTCATTCCAAAATAGCTGCAAAACTCCCTTGCCGCTATCAAAGTAATCTGAAGCAATGGTTAAAAATGTGTTTCGTAGGGGGGAAAAATCAGGAAAACATTCTCAGTTTATTTTCAGTATTTTAACAAGGAAATTGGGTATAGTAAATTAAATAATTCACTTTTTTGAGAATCTAAATAAAATTGCAGATGAAATGTCCCAATGCTTGAAAAAATACTATGAACAATTTGCAATTAGAATTTGGCTTTCATGTTGTATCCTTTAATTACTTATTTAGAGGAATACTTTGATAAAAAGAACTCTCTTTTAAATTGCAAATAGTCAGTTCTAAGTCTGTAAATAATTCATTTCCAACATACCAGAAATTTATTAAAGTCATTGAGATTCGAAGCTAAAAGAAAAGCTGGACTTAAAAATAAATAACCTTTCTGATGAAATAACATAAATTCAGGGGAAAACATTCGACTCTATTCAAAGTTTTGAATATTGACATCCAAAGCAGTAAATGCCTCATGATTTTAAAAAGTGCTCATATATTAATATGTTAAAAAAAGTTTCATATGTGTTTTCAATTCTTGTACCATCAGCATACTGTGCAAGAATTTTTAGCGGTATATCAACTAAATGGAAAAGCGAAAGAAATAGATTTTCTGTTGAACTTACAATGAATTATTTATATATTTTAATTTGAAAGAGAACTTTTCGGAATTTGTTTAAAAGAACAAAAGGTGATGCACATTTTCTGAAGACTAAAAATCAGAACAAATATAATATAAAAATTAAATTTTATTTAGCTGTAGTTTTAAAAGTTTCACATAGCTTTTCAAGCTTTTCTGTCTTTTTTAATTAACACTTTTAAAACATTAAGTTTTTTAAGAATTCCGGTGATAATTCTAATAATGCACATTTTTCGCTTAATGAGTCGATATATTATTACCTAAATTACTAAAGTAAAACTTTTTTCCATTGTTTCGAAGTTTAATGCAATTGTTCATACACATTAATTCTAAAATAATGTTCTAATAATTTGCAATATATGTAAAAAAAGAATCAATATGAATATATTTTTAGAGTCCTTTGTTGCTACTTGACAGAATGGGCTTCCTTGCGTATAATTTGAATGGAGAAACAATGCTGGTTTACACATTCATGAGCGGCCCACCAGCGGCCGAGCGGTAAAGACGCTGAACACTGGTAGTTCGGTCTGAGGTTCGAATCCCGCGAACGGGCTGGCTGCATGGGCGTTTTCGTGGTTTTCCCCATGTGTAACGTGTATACGAGCCAGTTTCCCTTAGAAAGTCCTCCACGAAAGGCATCCCTCCCTTTAGGCAGATAGCCCTCGTGTGCTTTGCCATAATTAAATACACCAACACCACATTCATGAGTTTAGTAATACAAACAGATTCCGTATGTGTTTCCGTCGTATGATGTTGTTTTAACTACAAACTATCTGAAATGTAAAAGAATTGCCCTGCTATGTAATATTGTATATTACATTTTCTTATATGTATATAAGCAAATTAAAAAGTCGCTATGTTGCCATGTTCAAATAATATTTCATTATCATGTACCAATTATAATTTTTATCAAATACGAATTATAATATGCACATTCTATCCATTTTAATATTACAACATTTTATCAGTTTCAATGATGTCACGTACAAATTATAATTCATAGAATGTATAAATTATAAATGATACATGAAAATGCAACCACTTCCTTTTTCATTAATTTCAATTTTAATCTTGATTTCTAATTTACGCATTATTTAACGTACTACGCTAAAACTGGATCTTCTTTAAAAATTACCCCTATATATGATGAGAGGAATTTCTGTTATCCACTAAATGTTCTACCCAATGCAACGATGATCTTGAGACTAAAAAGATAAAGAAATTACACTATAATTAACTCTTTATATATCTCCTACATATTTAGTCTAAAAGCAAATTGTTCAATCATTACAACAATCACAGCGTTATCGAAGTCTTTGTATACCTTTATAAAGTTGCAAAAATGATTACGGAAAGTGACATCTTTGTGTATCAAGTGCCGTAAGGAATGCAATGACATGATTCAGATGTATGTAACTTGCGTATATTATATAAAATTTCTTCAAGTACTTACAAGATGAAAAATTGTAGGCGATCCTGAAATTTCCTCAATTCAATTCCTTTCTCCACATCAAGAATTTGCGGAATTATCTTCATCCAAGGAAAGAATGATTGCCAACTTTTCTGGCTCACTAATCTTTCAGTTTCTCTCAAAACTGAAACTGTTTCGATGGATGCAATATCGGTGTACGGCAGTTTTCCGCCAAACATTGTTAAAGCAATGCTTTTTGAAATACTCCGAGACAGCAAAGGTTTCGTTAGAAAAGGACGACCTTCCATTCTTTGCATCAAAAGCAACAAGCCAGTAAGCTCATCCTAGGATACAAATACAAAACTGTTTAAGAGACTGTAGACCTTTTATAACAGAAGATTAGTTGCATTTTACATTGCTCTTCACATCGAAAGACATAAAAGAAACTAAGCAACGTGTTTTTAAATTTTCATTCTTGGAAATCTTAAATCATCTTATAATAAAGAGAATTTTTCTTACCCTGATGTACTTTTCAAACAACAGAGTTCTGCTTAAATCGAATTGCCGAAGTATTTGGAGAAAAAACTTCCATTCTTCAACTGGTAAAGCACTTATTTCTGACATTCCTGCAAGCAATTGAAAGAAGAGTTTTTAGAACATATTTAATCAACACGTATATTAGTTTAATTAATATGATAAAATTCATTGCTTCACGATCCTCCCCCCCCCGTAAAAAACGTATTGTTCTTAAATTCGGAATTAATAAGTTCATGTTTATTAAAAAGTCTAAAATAATGTGTAAAAGCAAAACTACATTTTAGTGTTACACATAAACTTGAGATTATATTGTCGCCATCATTGTGCATTTCGGAAAATAAAATCTTTCAGCAGGAAGAATTTCTCAGTTAAAATACTTTTACCAGCTGTCAAAGGATTTTGATACCGGAGTTATTGGCATAACAAAAATGTTTCAGCCAATTTTATCTAGTCTTTTGACTGATCGATTTCAAGCATTTAGATATATCACCTAAACTATTAAAAAATCATTAAATATTATGATCTTCCAAACGAAAAGCAAAGAAATCCCATAAATACCCATTATAAATCCAAATTTCCAAAGTAAAGATGAAATAGAATGGAGGGATTGCTTTTAAGTCAATATGAACTAATACTTATATCTTGCATACATTTCAGTTTAGTTAACTTTTATATCACACTTTATATATATATGTATACGAGAAAATAGTAAATTTAAATTAAATTTAAATAATTCTCTTGCGCCATTGCAATGAAATTTGAATTTAACAAATATTCTCCATTCGTAAAGGGCGAACCCTTTTTAAAAGTCTCAATTATAGCCCGAATTAAGTGAAAATTTTTATCTAATTTTTCTAATTTCCTTACCTTTGGCCAGTATTTAGTTAAAATTTTGATTTAACTTGTAACTTCAGTTTTACATAATGCAGTCTAGTACAAAAAATTTCTTACAATAATTCTCTATTTCAATTCTAAATTTTATATTTAAACTCTAATTCAATTTAAATTAATTCAAGTAAATTATTTATTGGAATTTTTAATAAAAAAATTTTCTCAATCTCAAAAATTTGTTACATCTTTAGTAGATTGCAACATCTGTTTTCATGAACAGTAACAGTTCATTTTTTTACTTTTACACTTTTTAACAATGACTTAAAGTTAGCAACATTTTTGCCCACGAAACAAGCATTTTATATTTTACTTTTTCTAAATTTACAACATGGGTTTTCACAATAGCTCTCACAGGCAGAAGCTTTACACTCAACTTTACAGTGTATTGGAATTACTCAAATCAACTAGTTTAGCAAATACTAGTGCAACTCAGAAATCCAATTATGTAGATCTAGGTAAGTTAAATTAAAACTTGCTATTTACTAGTCTTTTTATTATTATTTTTATATTTTGATATTATTTTAGATTTACATGCATAATTCGTGTTGGGGAAGTTTCCAGTAAGCAAGAGTTTCCTAATTACTTTGGTTTTCTAAAAAAATTGGTTTTCTACTCTTAATTAACTTTTAATTAATTTTACTCTAGTCATTTACTTGCTATTTTCTCAAAATTCCACTGTTTAAATTTCATTTTTGGTAATTCACAACATTTTTGGTTTTGAATTTTACTTTTATCTTTGCCTATATGGAGGAAACACGAATTGAGTAATTAAAGAGTTAGGTTTGGGGGCAACTTCCCCTTGATAAGTCTGTCTCCTGCCTGCTCAATAATTATTCACTTATGCATTTTTCGAAATAATAAATTTAATTTTTTAGAATTATATATTTTTTCATGGTTTAAAACTATGACACCATGATACGTGCAATTAATTTACATATGCTCTTAGAATTTAAATAATATCGTAAATTAGTTCGCAGCAATAATAATTTTTATTTTTATTTCTTTGCAATTAAAATTTTATTTGCTTTATACGAACAAATAACATTTGTTATATGTATAAGAGTATATATATATGTAATAAATTTAGGAGCAGGAATTTCGATGGCCTAGAAGTGTTGATTCATAATGACTAGGAAATTGGAGGCGAAGGCAGATTAAATCTTCAGTTTTATTTTCAGCAACATGTGGCGGCTACACACAAGTCGGCACATTAAATGTGCCTCAAAAGGCTTACATTTTTTGTAACTTTGTAGCAAGAAAGCAGCAGCAGACAGACAGCAGTCGACCTATGCCAAAGCGTGGAAAGCAAGTGCGTTATTTTCAAGGTGAAATTTTATTCAGACTGAGTTAGTTTTGGTTCTCAATACATTCTGATTGAACAGTTAATATTGCTCTAAAATTACTATTGGCTGGTTGAGTTTTAGTTCCATTTACATCATAATAATTACATAAGAATCACATGACATAGAATAGTCTCGAAATGACGCAGTGCAGAGAGAGGTTACTATTTTTAGAATAGAGAAGGCAAATTTACGTTGCTAATTTAATCTTTTATATGTTCTTTATTTTTCTTGCATATTACTAATATATACTGTCTATGTTATACAGTCTATATTATGTCTGTTATACAGTCTGAATAAGATTTCACCCTGAAAACAACGCACTTGCTTTCCACGCTTTGGCATAGATCGACTGCTGTCTGTCTGCTGCTGCTTTCTTGCTACAAAGTTATAAAAAAATGTAAGCCTTTTGGAACAGGCAGATTTAATATGCCGACTTGTATGTAGCCGCCACATATTGCTGAAAATAAAACTAAAGAGTTAATCTTCCTTCGCCCTCAATTTCCTTGTCATTATGGATCAACACTTCTAGGCCATCAAAATTCCCGCTCTTGAATTTATTACATATTCGTATTTGTGTGCGTGTATTATGTTACCGCTAAACTTCGAAAGTCGTTAATGTGCACATTACCTAGCTAACCTGCAGATTAACTGATCTGCTCCGTTAAATGCAGACTCAAGAGTTTTCTGAATTTTATCTAGTTAATGTGCTAATTAACGGCTTCCTTAACGTATTGTTACGAAATGTCCAGGCGCGGTAAGATGGCTTTCCCCACAAAGCAGGTTTAGGTTTGTCATAAAAAGGCAGGAAGGCAGAGTTGCCACATTTGGCGAGAAATCGCTCATTTGGAGACAAAGTTTTCGATATGCCATGGACGGATGAAGAACCTTTGGGAACGAATTCTTACCGGTTCAGCCCAGAAGGTTCTCGAACACAAGCCGAAAGCTATATAAACCCTGCTGGTCCGCAGTCAGTTAGTGCCTCGTCGAGAGTACATGATAGTTGGTCTCGAGTTAGTCAGTTCGTGAGGAGTCGATCAAGTTGACAAATATAAGTTGCTGGATCTGACATTTCTTTCATACGTAGTTCCTTCAAATATCAAATTTAAATAATATCTAAATTTAAAGGGCTAAGATACTTTTTTAATATCACCCAAAACACAGAAAATCTTGAAAAATATTCACATGACCAGTTTTCAGACATGCAATTACTGTAAAATTCTAAGAAATGGGAAATATCAAGTGTGCAGAAATACTCGAAAGATGTGCAACAGTACATAAGGATGCTCACATAATCTTCAGTTTTAGCGAACGGACCTACAGAGTGTCTCCTCAGATCATATGAACATTCTGAAGGCTTTTTCACAAAATCTTCGTAGGAAAAGACATATTTAATAGATGAAAAATCATTCAGAACAATCACATATTTGCTTCCTAAGCGCACACTGGAATAAAATATAGAAAATTAGGCAAATATGATAAAAATGACAAATGCAAAATTAATGTTTTTAATAACTATACAAATTAAATGTAGGTCAATTTCAGTAAGTGTGTTTTAAACTGATACCCTTTTAGTGAACATATATATTCTTTTTTTATATTTTTATAGTTTTCCATTCTTTTTTTATTAGTTTAATGCTTGAAATATTTTCCGATAAGTTTATTTAATTCTTTTCTTGAATAGAAATATTATTCCATTTATCAAAAATAAAACATATTACTCACATTCACAGAGTTTCTATAAAAGCATATATTACAAAATAGTAATAATCATATCATTTTATCTAAATTTTCATTCCGGAATGTAAGTATAAGCATAATCATAGCGTGCATAAATGATGGTACATTTGGTAAACTAGTAACATTTGGTAAATAATGATAAACTAGCTACATTTAATACTATTTAATACTAAGCTATCGAAATATATGCGATGCGTTAATGACATTTTTTACAGCCTAAAACAAATTTACTCTAATCTCATTACCAGGAATTTATCTAGCATAATCATAGAGTGCACCGAAAGCTCATAAAATATGTACCAAAATGGTGTCTCTATCAACCGCAAGGCGTCCATTTATAATATATGTAAAAGGGTAAATACCTGAATACTGGTCCATATATTTTTGAAAGATTTTGGAAATCAAGATGAGGCTCGGAGGTAAGAAATGGAAGATAACCAACAAAAGGAAGTCCAATAGGACCAGGAGGCATTCTTCCTCCTTTAGATAAAAACATCCAGTATAAAACCATAGCAATCATAGAAGCAGTTACCATTATGGCTGTAGACTTCATTGTTTAAAGCGACTGCATATCAAATTAAAAATACTCGAAATGCTGAAGGGCTAAAGACTCAAATAAATGTGCAAGCCATCAACTTTATCGTCTTTTGTACACATTTCATATGCGCACGTAATCACTCAAAAACGTTTCCATACGTCCGGAATAACAAGTAACTGAGACAGGTCATAATTTATACATGTCGAATTTACTGGAAGCTGCTACATTTTTTATGCCATTTTTTTTTCTCTGGTGTTTACATTTTTGTGAAGATAATTTCCGACTATTCGGTCGTTAACGGAATATTTGATGAGACTCAAGCATTTCGCAAATTTACGATCACTGGCTCCAGTTTGAGGAAAGAAAATAAAAATGCATCGGTCAAGCATCTGTCTAAGGAAAACATATCTGAGGTCAGTTTTCACATGGAATGCGATATGATGTAAATAATGACGTATTCCATTTTCAATTCTTTCAAATAAAGTATTTACCATACAGAAATGCTTCAGTAAAGGCACATGCAGGAAAAAAATAAGAGTGAAAAATAATATTTTTACAAATTTTTAACATATGTAATTATCTTCAAAAATCTTCAAAATACATTAATTTATAATGGTGTAACAGATTTAAATAATATTAAAAACTTGTAGTTTAAATAATTTAATTAGATGAACATTAAGGTATTTGTGAATGGCAATATTTGAAACCAGACTCGAGTGCCTCGTGCGACTCTCGCACGAAGAATGTAATTTATTTTTAAATGATAGAATATGTTTTATCTTCTTGTTGTATGTCGCCATTTTTTTAGTGTTAAATAAAAGTTATTGCTGTGTTCCATCATTGGAGTTGCTTCATTTCGCCAAAGAAGTATTACAGTCTTAATTATTTTGGAGGCACTGACCGAGATCGAATAATCGTGCGTATTTATTTTATTAGTTCATCACTGAACATAATATTAGTGATACCCAGATTATTACTTAATGTTTATATAGAATTGCTTTAGTTGTTATTAGTTCATCACTGAACGCAATATTAGTGATACCAGATTATTACTTCCTGTTAATAATAAATTGTCTTATTTTATTACCGTATTTGATATTATATTTAATATTCATTTTAGTTGTCCAGACGGTAGATATATATATTGCTCTATGTTATTATTCTTATTTTAATCACAATTAATGTGGTACAGAGAATGAACTTAATATAATTTAAATATTTCATTTTTGAGGTATAACGTTGCGCGCCTCTAACTAGCACGCAACCAAGAGGTGACTGTGAAAGCTTGTATAAACCATAGAGTCTTATAAAGGGTTTAAGTCCCTTTTTATTCAACGTACTAAATTACAATTGCGTCCTCTTGACGCTTACAAACTGTGCCAACTAGGCAGTCAAAATAAAAATAATAACCTGAAAAGAAAGTAAAGACAATATTCTAACTACGAGGCTCTCTAAAATAACTAACTCACCGCGTTTTACAAATACCGCAGCTAATTCAGCAGACTTGAAGCTCACTGGAACAATTGCAACTACTTCCCGCCAAGCACATAGGCCGCAACGCGGGGTTCTTAATTCTCGATTTCTACCTCCGCGCTCGCGAAGTAAGAATAACTCTCTCTCACCGAACTTGTTTCCTTCTATTTAAATCATACTACTTCCGCTGATAATTTGAATGCTTGCGCGTTCTACTCAAATTTACATATTGTGGCATTGGCAGTTCCAGGGGAAAGTAAGGCTTGACAGGAAAGATAGTTTAAACTTAAAATAAATGTTAGTTAAAATAAATATAAACCCTACATTTGCCGCTGCCAGAATTTGGAAAACTTGGAAGCAGGTCCTACAAACGACCTGTTGTAAGTTTATCTAATTCTGAACTAACTGGCGAAAGCCTCGTTTACACAAAAAAATCTTATGTAACAATTAAAATTCTGTTAGTCGTTAGTCGTTACAAAGCTTTCTTCTTACAGCAACTTTTCCTGGACTTCATCAATCAATCTTGGTCTTTCCTTCCAGCATCTGGAAGGAATAAGTATCAGTATCTTTCTACATACATTATAATTTACACTTTCTTGACACAATAAATTTTTGTTTTTAACATTTCGTTTTTCTTAGTTATTGCTTACTTCACATTCATTCAATTTTTTTCAAGCATTAATTTAACTTTACCCTGGCTCTCCACCGTGTGTGGTGTCAAACGGGAATATTCGTGTTTTAGTCTTACAACACTTCCCCTAACCACCATGATTTGTTAGAATTCAACAACCCAAATAGACACACCTTACTCGACATTCTACAACTCAATGAGCTACTTTAATAGTCTTAAAAATTCAAATGTAGGTGGAGAACCCTACAAAAACACATTCATTCTAACTTCCCCCTCATTCATCTTTAAACATGCAGGCTTTCGCTCTAAAGCATGACTTTACAGTTTAATACTTAAATTTTGACTTCATTGCTTTTAAGCATTCACTTTTAGCATCTACAATTTTATGCTTCTAGACTAAATTCTACTTTTACATAACATGCAAGTATTTACATACATTTACAAAAGTTTAATACATATGCTTTTTACAATTTACCATAAAATGAATAAGAGAAAATAAATTAATTTTTACTTTACTCATTCTTCGCCAAGCTGGCGGCACTGGAACTAAAATTCTTATTAGTACAAGAATACGAAGTTATTTTTATCTCCGGCCAAATTTTGGCTTTAACATAACAGAATTAGTCTTTCGACCAACAGAAAATGCTTGTTTTTAGCTTTTACACTTAAAGAAAATAATACTTTTGCCTTAGCTAAATAAAGTAAAACAAAACTAAGTCTCAACCGAGACATATTGACTTTCGTCAAAACATAGAACTTCGTACTTATGCATAACATTTCGGAACAAAAGAGAAAAAAAAATTTATAGAAGGTTTTAACTTATCTTTGAGTTTGCGATGCTTGAAACTCCGTCATCCGTTTTTGACAAAATTGATCCCAAGTTAGAGGTGTCATGGATGTCAATCTTCTCCTTGTTGATCTCCGCGTGTCGTCCCCGTTGATCTTTCTTTTGCGTCCTCTACATGCTGGCCTCTTGACGGAGTAATCGTCTTGTTGTTGGCCTTTGCGTTTCTGCCTGGGACGGCTGGTCTTGACGTCCTCCGGTCTGGAGTCCTTCTTGAATTTCTTCTGTTCCTCGTATTTTTGTGCCTCCTGTTGGCGTTTCAGTTTCCGGAACGGCGGCCTTGCTGGCACCTGACTCTGTGGCCGTGTGCGCGTTCTCCTTGATGTGTAATTTCTCCTGCCTATCCTTTGTAGGTGGTGTTTTTCTCTTTTACCACGGTTTCTTTACCCGGTTCATCTGTATTTTTGTTTTTCTTAAACGCCGGAGTTTGAAAATCCTTTTTTTCTTTTTGATACCGACGTCCGGGTTGTAGAAGTGCTAGGTCTCTCTTCAGTTCTCCGTTTCTTGGGTGGTGGAATAGTTGTTGCAGTCTCTGGCCCTTCTATTTCGTTTAGACTTGAGTCCTGCAAGAAACTTTTAAGGATTTCAAAATCATTTGGATTATAGTATTTTTTCACCTGGTCGGGACTTGCTTTACAGATTTCCCCTCTCTCGTTTTTAAGATATAAGACTACTCCTTTGATTTCCTGAATTACATAGGGGCCTTCAAACTTTGGAGCTAGCTTTGCCATAAAATTGTCTGGGGCACTTGATAAAGAAAATTTCCGTTTCAATACTTTATCCCCAACTTTAAAATCTGCTTCACGGCGTTTTCTATCGTAATATAATTTTCTGCCTATTTCTTGCCGTATCCGAGGTTTTAAGCGCCTGATCAATTAGTTTTTGCACGTCCTTTTGTTCTAAATTCCTGCTCTCTTTGTTGCACAAAGAATAATTTATCTAAAGGCGTAATTAACTTTCTGCCTAAAAATAATTCTGCTGGAGTTTTTCCCGTAGTATCATGATGTGCCGTTCTTAAAGCATAAGCTAATTCATTTATGTAGCCATCCCAGCGCTTGTGATGTGTGCTAACGTAACTGCGAATTATTTTTACAATGTTTTTATTAACTCTTTCTGCTATGTTAGCCTGTGGTCTATACGGAACCATTTTGATATGGCGTATATCAAGTCCATTGCATATGTTTTCAAATATTTGACTAATGAATTGTTTTCCGTTATCGCTAATGACTTTTATCGGTGCACCGTATTTTAAAATGTATCTGTGTAAGAATGCATCTGCGACTGTTTTGGCTGACGCGCGTTTAAGTGGAACAATTTCTATCCATTTTGAAAAATGATCTACTATTACTAAAAGAAAACGATTTTTATTTTTTAACTCGCTCTGGGGGAAGGGACCAAGGAGATCTATGCCTAAAATTTCATTCGGAAATGTAGCGCGAATGCTATTTAAGTACCCGGCCGGGGCTGTAATTAATATCATTTATTAACTGACATTGATTGCAGGACCTGACATACGCCGTTACTATTTTGTATAATTGCGGGAAATATACCGCCTCGCGTACCCTTTTTAAAGTCTTTCTGACCCCGAGGTGGCCCGCTGTTTTTTTTTTTCGTGCAACTCCTTCAAAATGCTTAATCGAAGCGAGGCTGGGATGACTGGCTTATACTCAAGATTTTCGTTTCGTTGTTTTCGTATAGAATAATAAATTATCTATTATTTCATAGTTTTTTGCTCTATTTCTTATCGCATCGATATCTGTATGCTCAAAGCTTTCGGGGTCTTTCAAATAAGCATAGATATTTCCAAATTCAGGATCAGCTTTCAGTTCAGTAATAACCGTATCTCTAGAATCTAAAATTTTTGAAGTCAACACAGCGCATTTAAGTTCATTACCTTCATCGTCCAGTTTTATACGAGAAAGTGCGTCAGCTACATTGTTTTCCTTACCCGGTTTATATTTTATTGTGATATTATATTCTTGGAGTTTTAAAGCCCATCTTATTAACCTGGGCGTTAGGTTTTTTCCCGAGTAAAGTCTACCAACAGCCGCATGATCCGAAAAGACTGTTACTGGCGATTTGCCGAAATAAACTCGAAATTTGTGTACAGCCATTAATACGGCTAATGTGTTTCTCTTTCTGTAGCTGTATAATTCCTTTGTGTTTGATTCAATGTTTTACTAAAAAATGCCAGCGGATGGTTATTTTGCATAAGAACCGCACCCACCGCATAGTCTGATGCATCTGCCGCAATTTCCAGGTTTTCGTCCCCCTCAGGGAATTTTAAAACAGGGGCATTAATAAGCGCTTCTTTTAATCTTTCAAAAGCTGTGTTAGCTTCCGCTGTCCACGTAAATTTACTCTTTTTTCTTTTGATTACTAAGAGTGGTTCAACAATATTAGCGAAAT